ACATTTCGTTTAGGAACGTCCCGATCGTCCTTTGAATTTTGGATTCTTTTGATGCTAAAGTTTTGTTTTTTTTATTATGATGAAAAATTTTATCAATGTGTGACAACCTTCTAGCAGTAAAGGTTCAAAGTTCAACTCTGCCTGAATTCATTCATATCTGTTGTTGCTTGTCAGTTTTCACAAAATAAACTGTTCATGACGTGGAGGTTGCGGTTTGATGCAAAACTGCGAAGCAATCATTACTCTCATATGCTTCCCCAAGTATTTGTTTGACGATAAGTACCTCCTCCACGTTCACTCTTTCTTTGACAATAACATTGAAGCCTCACTTGAAATCGCGCGATGGCCTGTATGTACAGAGTGCCTTTTAATTATTTGTAGAGCTACGTCATCTCTTCCTCTTCCGATAACTGGTCTTTTCAATAAACTCGTATTATTGTCAAGGTACTTTTCATGAGAAGGTAGATGCAGGGCGACTGTCAGCGACGATTGGGTATTGTAGTTAACTGTAAGTGATGCAACGTACCTTTTTATCATGAGTCTTTTGCCGTTGTATCGTGTGCAACTCTTGACGGTCCTTTGTTCAGAAATTTTTGATTCCCTTTGTTCGGTCGCGCATTAAATTCAGTAAATCTTCCGAGTCTGACATGCTCCAATTAATCCATCTTCATTATTCAGTTTTATAGCTACAGAAGTTGATGTCGACGAGTGAGTCAGTAGTTAACGTTCTCATGCTATTGCTGCCTATGAAGATTCATGACCTTTCTGTTCCGGTAGCTAATGACGTTCGGTTGTTTGACAAGGTATACACGATTTTATGGCGGAGCAGGTAGCCTGTACTTGCTTTGCCGATATTTTGATTGGACTAAGCAGCATTGGCGATTCATTAGATATGCGAGCTTTCGTGAACTATTGCGCATGCCTCCCAAATGTTCATTCAGCTCCGTTGGTTCAAAGAAGTAAGTTATTCACTGAGGTTCTAGTCAAGGGCAGTTATAGACAGTTATCATTGGCAAGGAGGAGTTGATCTCGCAGAATCTAACCTAAACGTTTTAACTGTGAATTCATTCTTTATTCCATCAAGAAAATAGCAAAATCGTTGCTGAACTGCGGAAGAATCATTAACCTAATATCGAAACTAGAGTTTGGTCCAAATTTTAGTATTTACACAGAATGCTTATAATTAATAAATTTAGGCGTTATTATTCCGTCAGTGACTTGCTGAAATAAATCGGCTTATAGTCACGAATTTATAAACCAGTATCTAGACCTGTAAATTTCTTGTCGAAGACGCCTCTATTACTCGTGAAAGTACTGCGTGCGATATTTTTTTTCTGAACTGAGAATAAGTTGCCACTCTTGTGGGTTCCACGAATGGAGTAGGGTTCGTCGATGAATTGAGCACCGTGCAGAGAGTTCGATTTATCGGCTTAATCTACATGAAATGCAAGCTAACACTGAGCATGTTAACAACTTAAAGTAAGTCACGGAAAACCTCAATTTTAAGCGCATGCACAGACGACAATTACACTGGAAAACAGTAACCGGTTTCAACTACAGAAGTATAAAGGAGATTCTCACAAATCGTTCATTAAGCATATACACAAAATCAGTTTTAGAATTTTTCACAGTTGGAATTGCTTCGAATTTAAGGACATTTCTTCATTTTGTTGTTTTGCTAACTCTTGCGAGTGCGCTGAAGAGGCTTTTTTATGTTTAATTACCACTATGAAAGAATTACTTTCAAAAGTTGGTATTGTTCGTTTTTGTGCATTTGAACACCGTATGACTAAAACTTGATTTTAAGAAATGTATGTGAGTCTCCTGTGGTATTAAATGGAATCCAGCTTCTCTCGCAGTCTCGATTTTGAGTGCGCGATAGAACAAGTAGCAACTTAGATTTGACAATGATCATCATGCAGTGTTTACTTTCTGCCGTTTCCTGCGAAACAATTCCATTTTCAATGTTCTGATTTGAGTACATTTAGATATTAGTCGTTTACGTAATGAGTCTATTTTTGAGCATTCTCAACCAACTCATGTTTCCTGCATGTCGTCAAAAGAAGCGGACGGATATCTTTATCGATGAAATGATTCAAAGGATCTATTTTTAAACGCACTCTAGAAAAATCAGTATTACGCAGCTTTTCAGTTTGACCTGCGAATCATACAAGCGACGTCGTCGTACACCTAACCGAGACGCTGGACTAGCGAATGAGCTGCTGGGTCGGGTCTTACATTATGTGCGTGTGATGTAGAGAGAGCAACAGGCGGCAACGCGTGGCCATTTATAGTGGTATTGTCCATCTTGTGGACTTTGTCCGAGCATACGTCGTGTAGAGAAGCCGTCGACGAGGGTGCCGTAAGAATAGCGAGTCAGGTATCTAGACCATTATAGTGAAATGGCATTTGATTGATAGACAGCCGTGGTTGGTATTCCTAAATCGGTGTTAGCGTGTGCTGTTGATGCGATGCCACTTTTCGGGAAGTCAACCAAGAACCCGGCTGACATCGTCAAGGGTTTGAAGGAGGCTACGTTGGCCCTGGAGCGAGGCGACAAGAAGTCGGAGAAGGTAAGCGGTCAACGTCACGGCGTGTTCGGCTTGGCTGAGTGACGGGCGTGGGACGGAGGATTTGACTCCGCGACACGCGGCGTCGGTTCATTTGTCCGCCGCCATGTCGCCGCGCCATCCGGCGCGTCGTTTCTGTTGTTGACTCACGCTGTGCATGCTCTAGTTACAAGAAGACGCTGCACGACACCTACAGGCGATGAAGACCGTGCTTTACGGCAGCAACGACAGCGAACCGCAGACCGAACTCATTGCTCAACTCGCCCAAGAAACGTACACCACCGGTCTCATCCCGCTACTGATCAACAACTTCACGAAGTTCGATTTCGAAGCAAGTATTTGCATACTAGCTGCTATCCGTTTTGTGACCGTTGTGACATCTTTTTCGTTGTCGTTTCCTCTGAATCCTGTCTGTCTGTCTTCCTTCTGATGGTCTGCAGCGCGAAGCGACTGTAGTCTGATGTGACGTTAAACTCGCTCAGTTGTTCGTACTCTGTTGTTTCCGCCAGAAGGCTTGGGGCGCATGGCATCAGTGCCGTCGCCGCCCATCGCTGATGTCGAACAATATTTCCCGAAGAGGATTTCTAGCGTTTTCAGCCGCTGGTTTCTCTTATACTTTTTCCTTTTTTAGCACTGCTTGCCGTCTGTGTTACTTGCCATCTGTTGATCTATTTCAGTGTCCCTCCGTTGTGTTCCTTTTCTGCTGTTGTGCTTATGTGAGTTTCGTTGCGCTGACCGTCGAAAGAAAGTATTT